CAGCGCAGCCTGCACCGAGTGCGCGAGCTCGAGGCGCTGGCGCGACAGGTGCCCGACCTGCAGCGCTGGGTGCGGCAGCTGGAGGCGGAGCTGCGGCGCTACAGGTGAGCGCGGAGGGGGACCGCTGGTGGGCCAAGGGGCAGGCGGGCCGGGTGGCCCAGCCAGCTCCCGGTCTCCGGAATTGCAGGTGTGTACGCGCGCTCCCACGCGCTGTGGTGGTCCTCCTGTTTGTCCATGTGTTCATTCATGTACTCCTCCATTCATTCGTCGGTTCTTCCATCTCTAAAGTCTTTCATCGACTCCGTTGCTTGCTCTGCATCCATCCATCCATCCATCCATCCATCCATCCATCCATCCATCCATCCATCCATCCATCCATCCATCCATCCATCCATCCATCTGTTCCCTCTGTTTGTTCATTCATAGATTGCAATTGCATGTATTAATTCATATTTGTTCTTCAATTTGATCATAGTGATAGTAGCTAACAGTTACTAAGCACTGATTGTGTGCCAGCCTCTGAGCTCAGAGCTTTATGTGGCTTAACTCATCTAATCCTCATTATGGCCTTGTGAAGTAGATACTGTAATGTCTCCGTTCTATAGGTGAGGAAACAGGTCTATAACGACCCCTTGTGCTATCTCGACCGGGGCAGGAAGCTAGATTTAAGACCAAGGTTCAGGTCCTGGCAGGGCTTCTTGACAGATGTGTGACTTTAGGCAAGTCACTGCCCCATTTGGAGCCTATTTCCTCTTGGGTGTACACAGATTGGAATTCCTGACTTCCAGAGTGGCTGTAGAGAGGCCGTGGATTCCTGCATGGCACATAGTAGGTGCTCAGGAAACGCAGATTCTTTCAAATCACCAGGCCTGTCTGCCTGTTGCCAGCCACATTTACTGAGTGCCTCTATTTATGCCAGGGCTGTGTCAGGGCTGTGAACAAGATAGACCAAAATCCCTGGCCCGAGCAGTCACCAGTGAGCATGCGAGACCTTCATGTGAACAGATGTATGGCAGCAGACTGGATGAGTGCTGCAGCAGAGTGGGGTTGGGAATGAGTGGGACCCTCACATGCTTGCTGCAGGCTCAGCTGGCCCCTCCAGAGGTGACTTGAGCTGAGAGCCAAAGATGGGACGTTACCCGGCTGGGGAGGGAAATAGGGAGAGTGTTTTAGAAAATGCGAATGGTATGAGGCAAAAAGGACCTTGGCATGTTCCAGAAACTGAAAGGAGGCCACAGTAGCTCGAGGGGTAAAGTTGGAGAGGAAACAAAGGCCAGGCCATTTAGGGCCTGAGAGGTGGGAGCAAGGACTTTAGTCTTTCCCTTAAGAGAACATGAAGCCATGGAAAAGTTGTAAGGAAGGCGGTGACAGAAACAAATTTGCATTTCAATAAAAAATTACCCTGGCTACAGTTGTGACAAGGGTGGGGAGGAAGAATAGGAGACAGCTGGGAGCCCAGTGAGGGGCTGTTGTCATCATCCAGCCTGAGAGGAAGATGGTCTGGCCCAGGTTGGGGCTGGGGCAGCCAGAAGGCATGGCTTTGAATCTGACTCCCTGGAGGAGGGATCTATTGACTCTGGGCCAGTGTCCTGCAGCTCCAAATGTTTGGATGGTCACTTCCTGTTTGCATAGCTGATCAGCTAAAGAGCAGGGCTGGTTGGCTTGAAGCCTGTGTCCAGCCTTGGAACTCTCTCCAAGAGGAGAAACAAAGGGTCTCTTCTTTGTTTTGCCCCGAAGTCACAATTAGTCATTTACAGTGTGATTGTAAGAGCAACTACAAACACTGGGACAGCCCGTCACAGTAGAAAGAGTGGATTCCTATCCATTGCACCATCTGATCCTCATAAGACTTTGCAAGGTAGAAGTTTTATCACCATTTTATAGATTGTAGGAAGTGAGGTTCTGAGAAGTTAAGTAACGTACCCGAGACCACACAGCCAGAAAGTGGAAAAGTGAGGTCTGCCTGCTCTGTAGCTTGCATTCTTTCTTGCTTTCCATGCTACCTTTTCTGTCGGTGATTCCTGGTTACAAGCCGGCAGCTGCACTCCAGGCCTTGCGTGTGCTGTTTAACCACAGGAAGAAGGGATAAAAACATGTCCCCCTAGTCCTTGCCCAGCCTGGGAGGCAGACTGCCCCGGCCCATTTTTTTTTTTTTTCCTTTCTTTTGGTGGCTCGCCAGTATGAGGATCCAAACCCTTGACCTTGGTGTTACCGACATCATGCTCTAACTCAGTGAGCTAACTGGCCATTTACTCTCCTCTGCCCATTTACTATGGTCAGATCTTGTGGGTTCGTGGACTGACCTGCCCCAAAGCTCTCATTCTTCGAAGAAAGGAAAGGGGAGGAGACAGAGCAGCCACAGACGTTTACTGATCATCAGCTGTGCACCAGGCATGATGCTGGGCTCTCTTCCCATGTCAGCTCATGGAGCCTCTAAACCAGCCTAAAAGAAAAGTATTATTATCTGCGTTTCACAGATGAGAAAACCAAGGCCAGAAAGGAAGCCACTTGCCAGTATAGCACAGCAAGTAAGTGACAAGGGCAGGATTTAACCCCCAGCCTGAACAGCCCAAAGCCACATACAGTAGGTTGGATTTGGGAACATGCACCAGTTCCTTCTGGAGTCTCCCACCCTGGAAACACCAGTAGGACATTTTACAGGCTGGGAGGGCCTGTGGGCTATGAGGTCACCTCTTTTTTTGCATTTCTAGTGCCAGGAACTGAGATGTCCCCAAGTGTTGACTTGAACCGCCCCCTCCTCTGTGGCTGGACCAGTGGGCCTGTGGTCAGGAGGAATTACTGGGGGGAAGAGGCCCACACCCCAAAAGCTAGAGCCCCATCACACTCTCTTAAGTGACATCACTCTGGAATTTCTCCAGGTGCTCTGCAGATGTGTCTTTGGGGGAAGAAAGTACAATGACTGAATTATGCCCTGGGAAAGACAGCTTGAAGCCATTTGGTTAGAATGAATGACCCGACTCACACTTTTCCAGCATCTTCCAGTTTTCAAAGCACTTTCACAGACACCCGGCTTGCTCTGATGTTCTAATTATGCTCTAAGGTTGGTATTGTCACCATTTTTTCGAATGAGGAACTAGAGCCTCTGGGGTGGGGGTGATTTTACTAAAGTCACATACCCAAAACTCAGCTGAACTAGGACTCAAAGTTGCACTTCCAAACTCTGAATCAAATGCTTCTGCTTCCCTAACATGGGATCTCAATGATTCAATATGGCATTTCAAGGACTTACATTGAATTATTTTTCATCCTACTCAGTCCTTGTGTTATGTGTTCTATCCATCTCTTTATTTCTTTAACATTTAAACATACTTATTTTACGGTCTCTTTTGGGTTGCTGTAATATCTGAGCTTGCTGAGGTGCTTTATATCTGCTGTCTCTGTTGCGATGTTGAGTTCCTGGTGTGCCTTGTCATTTTTGTCTGTGAGCCCATCTTTGGCAGAGCCAGGCCCCTAGAGAGGCCCACACAGAACCAGGGTTGTGGAATTCCCTTCAGAGCCTGTCCCTATCTGCCTCCACCAGAGCCTGATTCTGAACTAGTTTTTATATTAGTTTCTTAGCTTGGAGGTTCCTAACTTTGCAGGTCATGAACAATTGAGTTCCATACCTGGGAACAAAATCCTAAGGCCAATAGGTGGAATTTTTCTTATCTTTGTTTCTGGATGAGATGGCTCCTTGATGGCCCCTGACTTCATGTGGGGAGGCTCCTTCTATCAAACCACTGTGCAAGGTCTACAGTACCTGACCACTGCTCAGGCATTTCAGCTCTGTCTCCTGCTCCTCACATGAGCCGGAGGTCTCCCCTTCTTGCTTTTGACCTTGACTCTGTATTCTTTAACACAGTCGTATTTTATCCAGCACTTCCATGTATTTATAGATGAAAGGGGAGCTTCCCACAGCATCTCAGTCCACTATCTTGACCAGCAGCCTAAAAGAACATGCAGTAAATATTTAAGCAATTGGTGCCATTCATTTCTTCTTCATTATTCTAAGCACCTTCTCTGGATGAAGCCCTGTGCCAGATACCTGGGGGATATAGAAATGGCATAGGCATGTCCTCTGCCCTCAGAGCGTCTCCTGGTCCGAGGAGAGCAGGTCATGAATACACATGTCGGGATACAGATGTGCTGTGTGAAGAGGGGCCACAGAGGAGCTGCTTCCAAAGCCATGGGAGTCCCAGAACAATTAGAAGTAGCCCAGGGGTCAGAAGGGGTCTTCAGGCCTCCTAGAGCTGGGGGAAATCCCAGGAGCTTGCCTGCCCCACGTCTGCCGAGGCCCGTAGCGCTCCTAAGAGCACCCGCAGTCCCATCATGGCCACAGCAGCCTCTGTCTCCTGCTGCCCCACAGCTGGCCTCTGTCTCACACCACCTCATCTGAGAGGAAAACCTCAGCTCCTTATTCAAATCCCACAAGACAGTCTGTCCTCACAACCCATTTTTGTGCGTGGTAGACTTTACTGATGATTTGGCAGAGGGTGGGGTGGGGGATTATGTTGGGGTAATGCAAACAGCTTCATATGCAATATTTGACATCACCATTCCTAAAATGTCATTTAACCCCCACCCAACCAACACGTTTCACTGGCTCTTCTCCCACCTTAGACCTGGCCACTCTCTACCTTTCTCTCTGTTTTCTCTTTTTTTTTCTTCCTTTCTATCAGCTAGGTTTCTTAGATGAGTGTCAGAGAGCCTAACTCAAACTGACTTGGTGAAAAAGACGTTAGTTCTCAGAACTGAAAATTTAGGCATGTTCAGCTTCAGGCGTGGCTGGATCCAGGTACTCAAGCAGTGTCACCAGGATATGCTGAACTCTTCTTCACCCTCATGCAAGTTCTTTCCTCCAGTAGCCCCTGGGGTGCCAGGCTAACATCTCCAAAGCTCTGAGTCCAGTAGAACGATCATCCCTCTTCTGGGTCATCCCACTGAAGTCCCCAAACTGAGCCTCCTTTGGCCAACTTAGAAACATGTTTATCCCTGTCTTGGGGGCCAGAATTATTTGATGCTCTGATTGGCCAAACCTTAGTCATGTACCCACTAATGGAGCCAGAGCAAGGCCCATTGAATTCTGGGACTGAGATTTTCCCAA